CCGGCTCGCCCGCTCTGGTGTCCGGCGCCCTCGGTGTGACAGCATCGGTGAAATAGAGATGCAGAACTGCGGTTGTAGGGGCACAGCAGCGGTTTGGGTTCGTTAATCAGTTTGCTTGTTGGGAGGTGTGAGGAATGGGCAGGTTTGTAGCTTGTGTTGCTGAGCACCTGCAAGGCTGTGGCTTTTTTTTTTTTTGACCATAAAGGCTCAGGGTACGTGTCTGTCCCTGCTGTCTCTTCTTCCCTCACCTGGGTTTCGGTTGGCTAAGCGTACAGCTTTAGGGCTGTTTGTGAGGTTCAGAACTGTAGGGCTTTCCCAAATAAATTGTATCAATGTGTTATACAACCATGCTTTTCAAGCAGACAAATTCTGCTTTATGCCTGGCTGCAGTTTCAGGGTAGGCGTTACTGTTGTCCATCCCATACAGATTGGAATATTCAAAAATCCTTTGTCAAGATAAAGTATTTTTTATCACACAATCTTAAATATTAGGGACGGAGAAAAAAACCAACCAACCCATGACTTGTTCATCCACAGCCATTGCTGAGTGTTTCCTCATCGTGAGTCTCTCCATGCTGCCCGTGAATCGGCTGGCTTTTGGGCTGTTGGCTGTACAGACCCTGGCGCTGCAGGTTCCCAACCCAGCACTGGCACATCAGGAGGCAATTCTTGAATGAATCAGTCATCACAGTAATTGTTTTTCATATATTCCACGCACAGGGGCTCCTGCTGCTGTCCCTGGGAGGCTATCCTGTGCATCACTAGCTTGTTGCCTAGATTTTCTTCTTTTTTTAATAGTTATTTGTTTGATTACAGCAGTGAGTGATGTTCCTAAGTAGTCAGGCACTAGGCAAACAGCAGAAGATGGTCATTACCCTAAATACCTTAGGGTATAAAACCTGTTACCCTTCCATAAACAGGATTAAAAAAATTATGTTCTTTCTTGGCAATTTTGTATATAATTCAACCACATACATGGTATCATCATCCGTTATAGGATTTACTGGCTAAATGATGTTTCCAGCTCTTACTTCTCATTTTAGATCCATCCCTTCTGTCCCCTTACCATTTTTGCTCCTCCTCTGAACTCCCACAGTTTGTCAATATCTTTTATTGTAGCCAGCGAGACACATGAAGGAACACCCACATCCCTTCCTTTTAATCTTTCTCTGAGGAGAACTGACTCACCAAGTTCAGTTTGTATGTGAAAATATCTCTAGTAGGAAGGCTATTTTAGGTTGTGTAGCCTGGAAAGCTTCCTGACTGTTTGTTTTGTGGGGTTATTTTTTTAATCGTGGAAGGTAAGAGAGAAGTTATCTCCCTTGGTCAAGCAATAGGATATTCTGCACCGGAGAACATATGCTAAAGGGTAGTCTTGCAAAGGCCTCACTGTAAGAAATATTGCAGTGAGCCTGATTGCAGAGGTGTACACGTTTTTCAAGGCTTGAGTGTTGCACTCTTATTTATGCCAGGTCACTGCTACAGTGATTTGTGCTGGTGTGATTATATCGCTCCTCCCATTGTAGGGGAGCACAGAGCATTTAGTGTACGTAAATTACCGGAGGAGTCGTGCAGACCAGGAAGGCAGAATGCAAAGGCTGGTGCATCTGAGTGCTTTCACCAGGCCTCCTGAGGTTTTCTTTCTTGTAACCATCACAAAGCTGCACTGTGTCTAATGCTAACCTTGAGGGTGTGCACCTGCTGTGCCCTTACTAAAGGGAAGGGCCAGAATTGCTCAGCAGCACAGCCAACTTCCCAGTCATGGGAAGGGGGAAAATTTTAGTGCCGATGACTTTTTTTTATTTTTTTCCTGTACCGGTGGTATGCGGCCTTCCACACTGCCCTGTCTCTGTCATCAGGTGGAGTCATAGACCCACGAAGTAACATCATTCTCGTGTCCTGATACTGCAGCAAGATCTGCACTTCAGCCAGTGATGATCTAGCATCTTCATGCCTCCTGCCTCGTTTCAGGCAGCTGGGATGAGAGAAGGTGATCCTTTCTATTCTCTCCCTGCCAGCGGGCTCTTCTGCACTTAGCTGAAATAGAAGAGGAGGTTAGGAAATAATGTCAGTTGTACGAACACAGCTGGATCCTTTGACTTTAGTGCTGCCTTTTCTACAGCATCCAAAAGAAAGCTTATTGTATTACACTCACGTCAGGCTTAGGCAATGTTCAGGTATGTAATAGATGCAGATGGATGAAATATTATGATTGTCTTAATTTCTTTTTTCTTTGTATTGTCATGGGTCAGCATTCTCCGCCTCCTCCCAAGTACACAAGCAGAATCCAACCGTTAGACTCCATGCTTGGGCAGGGAATTTCCAATTCATATGCCAAGCCTGACCTGGGGAAACTCTTTGTTGGGATGGCTTTTGTCTCGTCTCAGTGGAGAAGTAAGCCCAGGAAAATATGAGCATTCATTACCAGTCAATTAATGGTCTGGAGTTCTCTTCTTTCCAACATCGTTTCTCTATAGAGAAAATAAGCACCTTTGTTTCTTATCTAATGATGCATTGGAATGTTGACTCATTAGCGTTTCAGGGTTTAGCAGAGCAACGGAGGACTGGATGGCTCTGACGCTTAGGCCAAGCATGAAACAACTTTATATGCCCTAAGCGCAGCGATGTCTGAAAGCGAAGGCAGAGATGGTGACAGGACTGGGGTAGTGCTGAGACTTTTGTTCCCAGGTCGCTAATTCAGGTTCACTTGGTTGCCAACATGAAGTGGGATGTTCAGGATGGGACCTGGTGGACAAGTGTCTCTGAAAGCAAACTTTATAACTGCTACAAAATGGGCCTTTGTTGGCGGCTTCAACAAAGAAGCCAAGGATTTGCCAGAGTACCAAACTCTTCTTACTGGAACAAATCCTTTCATATAAGGGTTGAAACGTATTTATAAGGCAGTGCAGAGGAGCTCCCTGCCCACATTTTAAGCATTCTGCATAAAAATAGGGAATTTTAGGTTATGCCTTCATAGACACGATGCAGCTTCATGTAGGGATGTCCTGAAAAGGTTAGGCAAGGTAATTTAGCTCACCTGGGATTCTGTGTTCATGTGGCTGTACTGAGATTGGTATACAAATCAGTTTAGCTGGCCATACACACGGGTACGTTCTGTCATGCAAACACATCAATCTCCAGAGCCAGGGCAGGACTTCTGGTCAAGCTTATTAACTTTTATGAACTGGGCTTTCACATGGAAATTTTAGGAATGTTAGAAATAGGGAGTTTCTTCATGTGGATCATAACTTCCCTTCAGTAATCCCTCTCTTCTTCTGACACTTTACTATCATTATGTGAGAGCTTTTGGTGCAAAAACTTGGATGAATCTGAACCCAATCTAAGAGTGTGAAATAATCTAGTTCCTTCCAAGTGTCCTTCCGAGAAATCTTTGGAGATATCCAGAACAGCTTTAAAATTAACATTTGGAACGTAGAAATGTTGGTTACATTTTCCTGTTTGTACCAGATCTCTTTCCTAGTTTCAGGATGTGCAACCAACAAAGAGTTCATTTAGTGGAGTGTCCTTACTTGTGTGTGCTCTTCCTGTATTTATTATATAAATTCCATTAACTCCAGCCAAGAACCACATTTCTTTCATCTAGACCTGCAGAGCAGCAGAGGTGCTTTGGAGCACCGAACCATGCACAATACCATTTGACTTGCATGAAAAGGCTTTGGATTGTTGTAAGTCTGTGGTTTCATGATGCTTCCAGGGTGTTTAGCAGTTGTGAGTGTGGTAATAAGGTTGAAGTGCCACATATGTTTTGAACAGTTGCTTGGCTCTGCAGCAGCTGCAATTTAAACTAAGCCTCCCTTGAATCTCTTGAGTTCAAAAAATAGCTTGGTAGCTTAGCTTGTACAAGATGTGATCCTGCAGTTAGTCCTTCCTTGGCTGCCACCTTTTGCTTATCTAGTGTCTCATGAATGTCAGCAGCGAGCACAGAGATGCGCCTCTGCAAGTGCAATCCATGGAACAATTTACAAAATTGCTTTACAATTCTTTCCTGAGCAGACCTTCTAGGACTGCTACAGTAGGACTAAGGTGCACTGTGAAAGTGATGTTTCAGAGTAGATATTTAACAGCCGTTTTTATCCACCTATGGAAATGTAAAAGGATATGTTTTAATGATGATAAAAAATGACACTTTGTAATGTGGCATGTGTTTATTTCGTTATGCTTCCTTCTGTGATGAAAGTACAGGAATGTGTGCTGTTTTTTCCTTGTCCTTCTTTCCCTGCTCTATACTCTCTGGCTAAGCAATATTTTCTTTTATGTGTCTATTTCCAGTGTATTAAAATTTTGAGGAAGGCTACTTAAGTGCCAGCCCTTAGATACATAGCTACAGTGTTTTGTTTCTTCCCTTACAAGAAAGAAAAATCATCACGTGCAGTCATCTTGTCTGGAAAATTAGGTTAAAGCAGGAATCGTGTTTACTGTAAATTCAGTGCTCCATCAGAGTTAAGTAGAATACATGGAGAAGATGCATTCCTAACAAAAAAAGATGCTGATAGCCTCACTATTCTGCAATCAGTACAATAAGTGATGTCTCGGTACCCGCAGGAGGATCCTTCAGGAGCCTGAAATAGCCCAGTCAGTAGAGCATCGGTCCCTCAGTTTGAGCATATAGGATCTGAATTCCTGATCAGCTTACAGGCTGTGGTGTTTATTACTTGCAAGAACATCTCAATGTATAATAATAAATTTCAGTTCATAAACCCCAGGAGAAATGCTAAGGCATCTAACAAATCAGCTGGCACTCTAAAAAAAGTGTTAATGTTAAATGACTTATATTAAACATCTGATGTTCCAGCTTTTACTTCTACAAAACTCCCAGGGAATACAAAAATAATTTCCTATGTAGAAAGTGTGAGGGTTTAGCCTTTAAGGAGTTTAATGTTATAGCCAAACAGAATGAGATAACATTTCAGGCAGAGGGAGACTGTGTGAGCTCAAATATTTTATCTTGTACTCTTATTTAGAGTATGGAAATAGCATGTTTCTAAGTACTTGAGATTTGGCACCTACTTTTTTTTTTTTCTTTTTTTTTGGAAAGCAGTGATTCTTGCTGAATATTTGGATGTCTCACCCTTGGACACACCCTTTTCCCCGAACAGACATACCATGTGTGAACTTCTTTCTCCTTTTTTATAGTTGGCAACAGATGTCAAATGCTTTTCTCTAGGAAATGCATGACCTTTTATATTGTTTCTTTTGCTTAATATGTTAAAGGAAATATGTTCTCTTTCCCTTACCAAAGATAAAGCCACTAACCCATCTAACAGGCAAGAAGACTGGGAATACATCATCGGATTCTGTGACCAGATCAACAAAGAACTTGAAGGGTGGGTGTCCCAAACCACTCCAGACTTAAGAAATTAACATTCAAAGTTTAAAATATATCATTTGATTATCAAATTTCCATCTTTTCTTTTGTGTATATATATATTGATATCGCAAGGAAGATCTGGCTACAAAAGAAACATGATGCTGTGAAGTGTGGTTTCTCTTCTGTGAAAGCCAGCGTGGCTTATATACAGACTGAGCATTGGGATGGGAAAATGGAAATTCTGAATCTGCCTGTAACGTCAGTTTCTGCAGCTGCAAGATTCTCGCCTAACCAAACTCAGTCTGTTTGACAGTCTGTAAAATGAGGTTATAACTCTTAGTGGCTGATGGGGCTTCATATCTTTAAAATCTTCACAAGGCTTAACTGAGGAAACCTCCTGGGTCACAGCATTTCCTGTAAGCTAAGCAATAAGTATTTTCTTCTGGAAAAAGGAAACTAATGCAAGAGAAATGAAGTGATTTCCTGGGCTGGGAACTGTACTGGGAGTTGTTTGGCCCCTCCCAAGCAGGAATCTGGAACTGCTGGCTCAGACTGCCAGCCCTCGCTTCCTTTCATATGTGCAAACACCCAGGCTTACAAAGATGCCCTGAACGTTTCTTGTTAGTCTTGTACACTGATGGAAAGATAAAAAGTACTAAATGGCATTTCCTTTTAATTATGTGAAAGATATCTCGTTTAAATAGCAGAATTTGTGAAAATCTGAAAATACTTCAACACGTTGACCTGCTTTGTTTGTAATGGAGATCTGCTTTGTTTCAGGCCACAGATAGCTGTGAGACTCCTGGCTCATAAAATCCAGTCGCCACAGGAATGGGAGGCAGTCCAAGCCTTGACAGTAGGTAGCCCTTACCCCTCCTCTTAAATCCAGGTATACATCATTTGACATTTGAGATTCATGCCTGTCTCACAGAGCAGGAAGCCGTGTCTTACTGGCATGGGTCCTTCAGTTTCCCTAGAAGTAGAACACAGCTATGCTGTTACTGAAGAGTTTTGGTGTTCATTTCAGCCCCTGTTTTTGTTACTTGAATGCAGGTGCTGGAAGCTTGTATGAAGAATTGTGGGAGAAGATTTCATAATGAAGTAGGGAAGTTTCGCTTTTTAAATGAGTTAATAAAAGTTGTGTCTCCAAAGGTTAGTCCATGAGCCTTATGGCTGTATTTACTTTTTGTTTGGCCTCCGTAAGCTACAGGCAGCATCCAAAATGTTTGCAGTGCTCTGTCTGGCTCTTTGCATTTATTAACCTATATTCAAGAGCATTTCTTAGCTAAGGTTTGGGTTTTTTTTTATGCTCTGCTTACTGTTTTTCTCAGTAAGTTGTACTTATTTACCATCAGGATATAGTCTCTGTACTGTTCTAATCCTTCATGTAACTCAAGGGCTTCTAAAGCCCTTTTATTTTTTTTTAAATATACCCCAGCATTAGTGGAGGAGAGGTGTGATAAAACAAGGGACTTGGCAACACACCATGGGGTTCTAACGCTCAATCTGCTGCCGACTCACTGTGTAAAGAGTGCCTGGCTAAGTCCCTCAACATCCATGATCAGTTTAACATGGCGAAAAATAGAGAGAGGCACCCCACGGCATGATTGATTCAGTAAAGTTTTCCAAGATTCTTTCCCATAAGACAGTGTGTTTGGGGGGGGGGGGTATCTGTATTGCTGTAATTTTTAAATAGCAAAATCCTGAAAACAGCCAAATAGCTGCTTTTTCTTTTGCTGAATGTAATCACAGCTTCTCTTTACTATTATTTCAAATATATTACAGGAACATTTTTTTTCCTCTTAATAAGATGTATCTTAGCTCATCTTGGAAATTGGATTATACACCTTTTAGTGTATATCATTGAACTCCCATTCTCTGGATTTGGACTTTATTCTTAAAAAGAAATGAGGAATGTAGAAAATTGACATCTTGTTTCCCCGCTCTTAGTACCTGGGAGACCGGGTGTCGGAGAAGGTGAAGACCAAAGTCATTGAATTGCTGTATAGCTGGACAGTGGCATTGCCGGAAGAATCCAAAATCAAGGATGCCTACTACATGCTGAAGCGACAAGGTAGGAAGTCAGCTGCTCGTTCATGCATTCTCTCCAGCTTGTGCTTTAA